AACATCAGATACAATATCCCTAGTACCATGACCCCTTCTAAACCCAGCCTGGACTTCTGGCAGTTCTCTGCTGATGTGCTGCCCCAGTCATTTTTTTATAATCTTCAGTAGAATCTTGCTTGCATGTGAAATCAATGAGATTGTTCTATAGTTTCCACACTCTGTTGGGTCACCTTTTTTGGGGGGATGGGAACAAATATAGATCTCTCCCAGTTAGTTGGCCAAGTGGTTGTTCTCCAGAATGTACAGGAGACATATAGCACCAGGAAAATCTGCTGACTTACAGTCATGGACCTCTCCAAATTACTAAGGACCAATGATGTCAGTCTGAGGTCTAAGGAGCACTTGATTCAGGTCAAGGTCTATACATCTGAGAGCTGGACAATGAATAAGGAAGACAGAAGAAGAACTGATGCCTTTCAATGATGGTATTAGAATATTGAATATCCATCCCATAGACTGCCAAAAAGAACAAAGAGATACATGTCTTTGAGAAGAAGCAATCAAGAATGCTCCTTGGAGGCAAGGATGGCAAAACTGTCTCCCATACTTTGGCCACGTTCTAGGATTCACTGCTCCTCGGAGGGGGACATTACGCTTGGAAAATTGGAGGGTCAAAAGAGAGAAGAAAAAAAGAAAAAAGAAACGAGAGGCAGACCCTCAGTAAGCTGGATTGATATAGTGACTCAGGCAATGGGCTCAGGTTGTGTTGGGGCTGATAAGGATGGCACAGGACAGGACAGGGCTCAGGTCTCTTGTTCATGGAGCTGCATTCGTCATGTGAACTGACAGCACCTGACAACCACGCCTGTGGTGGCCTAGTGATGGGGAGTGACGCTGCCAGCCCAACAGCACTCGGTCTGAGTCCACAACTGCTTCTGGGAAGGAAGATGGGAAATCGCCTCCTTTGCTGTTTATAGCCTCTGAAAACCAGCTAGAATCAGTTCCATCTCAATAGCACATATAATAATAATAATAATTCCTATACCACCATCGGTAGCACGGTCGCCTACCAGGCAAGGAGTGGCAGTGCCAACTCAAAGGCAGGCAGTTCAAATGGACCAGTTGCTCTGTAGGGGAAAATGGGCAGTGTCTCCTCTCATATGATTCATAGTCTCTAAAAATTCACTGGTGGGTCAGCTATGAATCTGTTTAGACTTGATGGCAATCAGTGATTGAGTGAGAGAAAACCCTGTAGCATAAGGAGCCCTCGTGGTGTCATGGACAGTACCAAAGGTTTGTGGTTCAGATCCATCCGTTTCCTCCTGTAAATGTTTATGGCCTTGGGAACCTGGTGGCGGATCATAAGGTTTTCACTGACCAATTATTTCAGGGGGGGGAAAAAAAGGACTAAGATGGATGTAAGAAGAAACTGAAATGTACTTCTAGAGTAGCTAAAAACAAAGAAAGAAACGATGACACAAAAACACTGAACAGAGGATTTCAAAGGCAGCTAGAAATGACAAAGTATTACAAGGAAATGTGCAAAGACATGAAATTAGAAAATCAAAGGTTTCTAATGTCACTCAGCATTTCTCAAACAGAGGAAGGACTGAGGAAAAAATATAAGTCTCAATTTGCAGTAATGAAAGATTCTATGGGCAAGCATAGAATCAGGGCAAGGATGTTAATGTAAAGACTAAGGTGCACCTGATCCAGGCCACAGTATTCTCAAGTGCTTCCTACGCATCTGAAAGTTGTATAGTAAGTAAGGACTACCAGAGAAGACTCAATGCATTTGGATTGGATTGTTGGAGAAGAGTATTAAATATGCCACGGATAGCTACAAGAACAAATAAATCTGTACTGGACAAGGCACAACCAGAGCGCTCCTTAGAGGTAAGGAGGATGAAACTTTGTCTCACAAACCTTGGGCATGATGTCGGGAGGGCATAGTTCTTGAAAAAAGGCCTCATGCTGGGAAAGATCAGCAAAAGAGAGAAAAACCCTCAGTAAGACAGACTGACGCAGTGACTACCACAGAGGGCTTGAGCACGAGAGAGATTGTGAGGATGGTGTCAGACAGCACCAGGTTCAGATCTGCTGTTCATAGGGTTGCTGAGTTGTATTTGACTCAACAGCACCTAACAACAAAATGGACAAAACATCTAACCATGCTGAAAAATTTACTAACTCATAACTGAGCCTCTCCTTGGTTTCCAAGGCTATAAATCACACAGGAGGAAAATGTCCATCCTTCTCCCATGGAGCAGATGGTGGATTTAAACTTTTCGAGACGCTAGGTCTTTGGATTAGCAATGTAATTCCCTATGGACTATGCCACCAGAGTTCCTTCAATGATGCTGAAAGAACTCCATTCTGAGGGCAATTTAAAAATTACTGCTTGCAGACATCAATTCGGGGCTCTCAGCTGGATGCTGCTGTGTCAGCACGTGGGAGCCCGGGTTCAAACTCAAAATAAACTTTGTTAATTCGGAAAAAAAATTACTGCTAGTAAAATGTGTCTGAGGATCCAAGGTAGTGGGGGGAAGGCAGGAGCAGAGGGGTGAGGATGGCGGGGGGTAATCAGAGTCGCACAATCTAATGGGTAGGGGAAGGGGTGAAGAAAGGAAGTGAGAAAGACCCGGTGTGAAAAACAATGTATATGAACTTTGTAAGTAAACCAGTATAAAATAACATTTTATTTAAAAGGGAAAAAAAAGTAATTGCAGAATTCTATGGAAAGGGATCAGGCCAGAAATACAAGCCAGACTCAGAAAAGGATGCAGAAGGAGGGATATTATTGCTGACATGAGATGAATCTTGGCTGAAAGCAGAGAATACCAGAAAGACGTTTATTTGTGTTTTATTGACTATGTGAGGCATTCGACTGAGCATCATAACAAAGTATGGACAACACTGAGAAGAACGGAAACACCAGAACCCTTTACTGTGCTTATGTGAAACCCGCACATGAACAGAGCAGGAGGATATCGCATGTTTAAAATCAGGCACAATATGCCCCACTGTTGTATCCTCTCACCAGGCTGATTCAGGTTGGATGCTGAGGGAATAATCCAAGAAGCTGGAGGATGTGAAGAATGTGGCATTGAGATCAGAAGACTCATTAACAACATGGAGACATAATTTTGCTTGCTTAAAGTACAAACATAAAGACACAACAAAGATGACACAATTTTGCTTGCTTAAAGTGAAAAGGACTTGAAACACTTACTGATGAGTATCAGATTATGAGAATTAAAGGGTGTTATACCCAAGCTCTAATATATTTAATTGTTTTATGAACATATGAAGACCAAAGAGAAACCGAAGCCTTTGAATTATGGTGTTGGTAAAGAATGTTGAAGATGCTATACGTTGACCAAAGAACAAGCAAATCCCTTGTGGAAGAAGAGCAAGCAGAGTGCACTGACTGAGGAATGAGGACACATTCCTCACGCTCCCTCACATACTTTGGGCATGTTATGAGGAGAGGACACAAACAGAGAAAGTCAGAGGAAGAGAGGAGGACCTTTAATAATACACATTGATAGAATGACTGTAACAACGGGCTCAGGCATTGTTGTTATGTGCTGTCACGTCACTTGCGATTCATAGCAACCCTATGTATAAGAGCCCTAAATCCTGCTCTATCCTGTGCCAACCTTATTGTCCCAGTCACTGAATCAATCCATCTTTTTGAGGGTCTTTCTCTCTAGCGTTGTTCCTCCACCTTCCCAAGCATGATGTCCCTCCTTGCAACATACTCAAAGTATGTCAGACAAAGCTTCAGAATTCTTGTCTCCAAGGAGCAGCCTGGTCTCACCCTCTATAGGATGAACTATTTTGTTCTCCTAGCAGTCAATGCAATTCAATATTCTTCTCCAGCATCACAGCTCAAAGGCATCAATTCTCCTTCTATTATCCCTAGTCATTGTCCAACTTTGTGATGCATAGCCAAGTAATTGCAAAGACAATGGCCTAGATCATGCACACCTTTGTCTCCATACTGACATCGTTGCTCTTCAGTACTCTGGAGAAGTCTCTAACAGCAGACTTTCCCAGTGTATTTCATCTTTTGATTTCCTGGCTGCTGGTACCAAGAATGTTGATTGTGGAGCCAAGCAAACTGAACTGTTAATTATTCAATGTTTCCATCATTTATTATGATGCTGCCCATTTGACCTAGTGGTGAGAATCTTTGTCTCCTTGATGTTGAGCTTCAATCCATATTAAAGGCTGCAGTCCTTGATCTTCTGCAGCAAGTGCTTTAGGTCCTTTTCAGTTTTGACAAGCAAGGTTGTGTCATCTGAATAATGCAGGGTATTGATGAGTCTTCCTCTAATCTTGATGCCACACTCCTCATAGATTCCAGCCTCCTGGATAATCTGTTCTGCATACAGATTGAAAAGGTATGGAGATAGGATACATCCCTGGAGTACATCCTTCCCAGTTTTGAACCATGCAGATAGCAGTGGTTTTCTGGGTAGCACAGAAATGAGCTGTACATGGGATCACCGTCCACAGAATCACCGAGTCAAAACCAACTCAAGGGCACAAATAGCCTTCAGGATAGCCTTCCTTCAACATCAAGGAAACAGAAATCCTCACAGCTGGATCCATAAGCAATATCCTGATAGACAAAATTACTGAAGTTGTCAAAGATTTCATTTGACTTGGATTCATAATCAACACCCATGGAAGCAGCAGTCAGAAGTCAAATGATAAGAGGGATTTCATATCACCAAGAAAGAAAACTTGGGAGTTGAGTGTGGCTTTTGGATTCTCTTCTTGGAACTGAGAACTTCCTAGAGACAAGAGGAGAAATGCCAACTCAAATGACTGTCACCCAAGAGCATAAGCTTAAAGAGACAAGGACCTTTTTCCAGGGCCAACAGAGAAAGAAGGCCCTGGCTCAGAACTTCTTCTAAACTGTGAGGAAATAAATATCTGTTTGTTAAAGACTAAATGAAAAGACTTCAAGTAATAGATTCTATTAGAGGAAATTGATTGCAAAAGACCTCTCTAAAGCATTAAAAGGCAAAAATGTCGCCTTTAAGACGAAAGAAATCTTGACACCAAGCCATGGTTTTTCAATCACCTCATATGCATCTGAAAGCTGGACAATGAATATGGAAGACCAAAGGAGAATTGAGGTCTTTGAATCAGGATGTTGGTGAAGAACAGGGAATATACCAGGGACGGCCACGCTGGGAAAAAGGACAGCTAGAATGCTCATTAGAGTGAGCACGGGAAGACTTTATGTCACCAGCTTTGGGACAGACTTGACACAGTATGTTCAACAGTGGTGCAAACAGAGCAATGACTGTTAGGATGTCACAGGACCGAGAGGGATTTCACTCTGTCAATCACAGCGTCGCTGTTAGTCAGAGCCAATTCGACGGCACCTGACACTCCCTCTACCTGTCAGTGTGAGTTTGTCTGGAAATGGACTCTGAAGATAGAGCTACCATGAAATCATTACAGTGGTGGACTCATTTTATTTTAAAAGATAAAAAGGCATTCAGAGAGACAGAGAGGAGCTACATGAAGAGCAGAGCAGTGTGTGTACAAGGTTGCCAATGTCAGCCCTGGGAGGGACACAGAAGGATGTCTCCCCAGTGTTTTCAGGGAATGGTTCTGTGGACACCTTGACTTTAAGGTGACAGCATAAACTCCTGTTGTTCAGCCACTTTGTGGTTGTATGTTAAAGCAGCCCTAGGAAACACACAGGTTTACCTTGTTTCCACACGCCTGGGCTTAGGGCTTATTTTGCACTTCGAACACACCATGTTTTTCACAAATTAAAGATTTGCTGCAACCCCGTGTCAAGCCAAATCTACGGGTGTAATTTTCCAAAAGCATGTGCTTCCTTCATTTGTCTGGTACATTTCTGTAATCCTTACAGTATTCCAAACTTTTCCATAATGCTATTGCACTTAGTAGATTACAGTGTAGTGTGAACATAACTTTTATATGCAGTGGGAGGCAAATTTTAAAAATCACGTGACTTGCTTTATTGTATTATTGACCTCACTGTAGTGGCTAGGACCCAGCCCATACTATCTCCACGTTATGCCTGCACAAGGATTAAAGAGAAAGAAAACTCTCCTGGGGTTCTAGGCTTCCCTGCGTTTGCCTCTAGTTACTTGCCTCCTAGGCCCCCAGCTGCCTTCCTCTGCAGGAACCAAATGCCACCCTGGCCAAAGTCCAAGCCCCACTACCCACCTTCTCAAGTCTCTGCTTCATGGGGCAGCAGAAGCTTGAACAAGGTGCTACATTTTACTGTCTCAACCCCTGAGATCTGAACTCTGTGCACAGGCCAGTGCTGGCTTTTCGGGTTCCCTACTGGAGGCATTAGTGAGACTGGCTCAGGACAGGGCAGGGTCCAGAGCTTCTGTACATAGTGTTGCTATGGGAGTTACAGGTGACTCGACAGCACATAACAACAACAACAACAACTTGAGGCAGAATATGTTGAGGATGCAAGCCCAGGGTACAAAAGGAGGCCTAGCCCAAACCCACCGTCCGATCCAGCACAGTGGGCAGGAAGTCGTAGCCGATGCCCTCCACTTCATAGGCCGTCTGATCCGTCTGGTTGAGCTCCTCCGGTTCAGCAAGGATGGAGCCCTCAGGGTCCACGCCGATGATCTGCACAGAGCACTGCCTTAGGCTTCATGCCTGGCTAGTCCTGTGTGGACACACCAGCCAAGAGCAGGGCACCCACTCCCCACCCACCCATGCCCACTGTTGGTTTGCCCATGAGGACACAGGCCTTATCTTTCTGACACAAGACCTAGAACCCTGGCCTGGAGACTTCAAAGCAAAGAAGAGTAACGCACAATGCAGAACACAGGGTACTGTAAGCCCCAGAGGAGCTCCACCCAAGAAGGGTGGCACAGGACAGCCCCAGGCACAGCCCCAGGCAAAGGCAGTGCTAGGCCATGACCTTAGCCTGGAAGGCAAGGGATAGGCCAGAGAGAAAAAGGCACGGGGTGCCACCTGTTGGCATGTACACGAGCCCTCCCCAGACTGCTCTCTTTTTGCTTTTTTTTTTTATTTTAATAGACATTTACAGAGGTTTTGGATTTCCATTCATTCATTGCTGCACTTTTCTCCCTGCCCACCCCTCCCCACCAGTTCGCTCCCCTCTCTGAAAAGAAAAAGAAAAAAAAATCCTTCATTAGTATACAATTTTCCCATCCCTTCCCCCCTACCCCCCACCCTGAGTACACGTCTCTATGCAACCTTAATTCAGATTAGAGGTGATACATGATTGAGTATTATGGTTAGCACAGGAATCCAGACCACTCTTAATACCATATCACAGGTATAAATCCCACCCATACAAAGCCAACAGTGCCACACCCTAAAACAGGTTGGGAAATATCAAGACTCTATAAGTGCTCTGTAAAGATTCTCAGAGGCCCCCTGATCAATCCCCCAGCCCCCATCCAGTGTGTGAACCAGAAGCAGCCTCCAGCACCAGATCATCAAGCTACCGTGTCAGGGCTCACTGGTTCCTTATTGCTGAACACCTTGTTCCCAAATATCTCCAGTCAGACACAGACGCAAATCCCTGGGGCTACACACCCAGTAAGACTGTTAGACTGCTGTGAGCACTGGGAATGACAAGGAACAGCTCCAAGCTTCAGCTCCAGGTGAGAGACACCAGCACACCAAGGAGTCAGGAGCGCAGTGTGCCACCTTTGCCCCATGGTCCCAAAAGCCACCCACCTTGCAGCCCGGACACTTCTCCTTGAGCTTCCTGGCAATGCCCGTGATGGTGCCACCTGTGCCAGCGGAGGCCACCAGCATGTCCAGTTTTCCTGTGGGAGAAGAAAGCAGGGTCAGCGAGAGGACATGTTTAGGCCACAACAGCTCTAATCTACACTCTTCAGTAATAACAGGGGAAATTATAACTCAGTTAAAAGGCAAGAAGGTAATCATAATGTCGCAAAGAAAAGCTTATAAAAATGCAATGTTGTTGTTGTTGACTGCCTTTGAGTCGAGAACGACTCATATTGACCCTATGAATAAAAGGCATGAAGCCTTTCTGTAACTATTGACATTTATCAAAGCTCATAGAGTTTCCAGAGGCATGCTGTTTAGGAAGTGGATGCCCCCCCAACTGTTGTTGTTGTTGTTGTTATGTGCCGTCGAGTTGTCTGTGACTCATAGCGACCCCATGTACAACAGCCCTAAACCGTGCTCTATCCTGTGCCAATCTCATTGCCTCTGACACACTCATCCCGATTACCCCAGTCACTGAATCAATCCACCTCATAGAGGGTCTTCCCCTCCTGCGCTGTCCCTCTACCCTACCAAGCATGATGTCCCTCTCCAAGGACCTGTCTCTCCTTACAACATGTCCAAAGTATGTCAGACGGAGCCCCAGAATCCTTGCCTCCAAGGAGTAGCCTGGTTTAACCCTCTCCAGGATGGATCTGTTTGTTTTCTTGGCAGTCCATGGTACATTCAATACTCCTCTCCAGCACCACAGCTCAAAGGCATCAATTATCCTTCTGTCCTCCCTAGTCATTGTCCAACTCTCTGATGCATAACAAGTGATTGCAAACATGGCCTGTATCAGGTGGACCTTAGTTTCCAGAGATTGGAGCGTCCCTAACTTTCCCATCGCAATGCGTTTTTTTATTTCCTGGCTACTGGTGCCAAGATCCAGGAGGTATCAAAAGAAAATGGAAGGAATATACTGAGTCATTGTACCGAAAGGAATTGGCAGATACAGAAGAATTTAATGAAATAGCATTTGAGCCAGAGCCTATGGTGATGAAGGCAGAAGTTCAAGCTGCTTTGAAGGAAATAGCAAAAAATAAGACCCCCGGAATAGATGGTATACCAATTGACATATTTCAGCTAACAGATGCTGCCGTAGATGTGCTCACCAAGTTGTGCCAAGAAATCTGGAGAACAACCACTTGGCCAACTGACTGGAAGAGGTCAATATTTGTTCCCATCCCAAAGAAGGGTGACCCAACTGAGTGTGGAAACTACAGAACAGTGTCATTGATTTCACATGCAAGCAAGATTCTACTGAAGATTATCCAAAAACGACTGGAACAGTACATCAGCAGAGAACTGCCAGAAGTCCAGGCTGGGTTTAGAAGGGGTCGTGGTACTAGGGATATTGTAGCTGATGTTAGATGGATCTTGGCTGAAAGCAGAGAATACCAGAAGAATGTCTATCTGTGTTTCATTGATTATGCAAAGGCATTTGACTGCGTGGATCATAACAAACTGTGGCTGACTCTGAGAAGAATGGGAATCCCAGAACATTTAATCGTGCTAATGCGAAACCTATACTTGGACCAAGAGGCAGTCGTCCAAACAGAACAGGGCAACACTGCATGGCTCAAAATTGAGAAGGGTGAACGTCAGGGATGTGTCCTGTCTCCATACCTTTTCAACCTGTATGCAGAGCCCCTCCAATAGATTCTCAAATTTCAAGACTCTAATCACCGCTCTGGTGGCCTACTGGCAAAATGCTGCACTCCAATCCCAAAGGCACATGGTACAAGACGCTGCTGCATGGGAGAAGGATGGACAATCTCCTCCCATGCGATTAACTGCCTCTGAAAACCTGCCGGAGGGTCAGCTGTGGGTCAGTTCTGCCTCTATGGTATACAACAACAGTAGCAGCAATCACAGTCTTTTAAAAGCTTTGGTCTCTCACTATGCAGAACGAGAGAGGATTTAAGAAAACCCAAAAACACGAGGAAACAATCCCAGGTACCAAGAGGTCACTTTAACCTCTATGACCCTGGGACGAGAAGAACTACATGGTGCCCCACAGTCACTGCTGATCGCCTTGAAACGGACAGTGACCGAGGGTCCTGGTTAGGAGAAAAATATGACACAAAACTCAAAATGGAAAACAAAACAAAAATCTCTAGATGGGAAAAAACAATTAGGCTTACTAGCTTCCTAGAAACTGGCGAGTGGCCCTTTGTCACCTTATGAGATGGAAACTGAACTCCCCCAGTGGCTCAATTTTCAGCCAAACAACAGACAGGCCTAGAAAGTGACCAGTAACACCGGGAGGCACTCACTCCTCAGAGTAACCAACCATTCAAGATCAAAGTACAGCATGTGCCCAGGGAAGAAGCTCAGAAGGCAGGAAGGGAGAGGATAGGATCAATAAAAATGAAAATCACAAGGATAAATGGGACAGTGTGCCATGTGGGAATGGCATGAGTGATGCCATCAAAGCAGATGTTTGTGAACAGCTGAATGGAAAATCTACCTCCTCTGTTAGCTTTCAGTCAAATCATAGTAAAAAGAGAAAGAATAAATATAGGAAAAATGAAAACAAACAAAAGGCAGAGTTTGGTGGTTCCTCAAACAGTTAAATAGAGACTCATCGTACAAGCCTCATGAATTGAAAATAGTGATTCAAACAGAACTCTGAGCACGAATGTTCACACGCGTACTATTCACACCAGCCAAAAGGTGGAAATTACTTGGGTCCAACAATAGACGAATGAATAAATAATTTGTGGTCTATCCAGATAATAGAATATTACTTAGCCATGCATCTTAAAAACATGTTGTTGAGTGAAATAAATCAGCCACAGAAGACAAATACTGTATGTGCCCATGTATGAAATGTGCACACTAAGCAGAGATCAAAGGTTATCAGTGGTTGCCAGTGCCTGGAGGTTAAGCGGAAAGGGGAAGCAACTGTTTAAGTACCCTTAAGAAAGAAGTACCTTAAGGGTACTTACACAGTAACTTACCAAATTTTTAGGGATGATGAAAGACTTAGAAACAAGTAGCAATGTGGGTTACGAAACATTGTGAGCACAATGAACATCACTTAGTAATATATGTTAAAAGGTCAAAACAGCAACATTTTGTGTTTCTACAAATTTTATCTTGGCACACTAACATTTTTTAAAGTAGCATTCACACTAGCAGGAATTCTGTCATCTTCCTTAGTGTTGTAGATGCAATTAAAATCGTTCAAGTCTGAGCTAGCAAGCAGGTAATCACTTTAGATCCCTTTCCCCATCCGGTTGTAAATTCCTACTAAGTCCAGAGGGCAGAGGGAACGATTCCATGTTCCAACTTTCCCTTCTTGGTTTTGGAGTGGAATGAGCAAATAAATAGAAAGAAAAGAAACAGAATAAACTAGCAGCTGGCTTTGGCTGCGCCCTGAGCCGCTGAGCTTTCTCACTCCGCATGCTGGGCACCCCATGCACTGACAAGTCTGAGCTTGGTGGGCATCCGATGCCAGGCAGGGCAGGGGCTGAGCAAGCCACAGGCGTGTGCATGCCAAATGAAAAGTGTTCACCCATAAAACCGGAGCTTGTCAAGGCGAGACCACACTGCCTGGCTCCTGGGCACAGACTGAGGAGATATCAGCCAATGCCAACTCCTGATTCCACACAGAAAGCCCAGGCTCTAACCCTGGCAGTTGAAATCTCTCCTAGCAACTTCTCCCCAAGAGGAACTCCTAGGAAAACAGCATTGTCAGCCCCTACTCAGAATGATTCAGATGCTCAGAACTTTCCAGGCAGTTCATGCCCACACAGAAAGCCTACTAATCACAGATGCCATTAGTCCAGCTCTACACATGAGAAAAATGTGATACTGGATCCAATGCTCAGGTTGAGGCTTGATCCTAACTGCATTCAGCAACAGGAAGCCCTGCTGTGAACTTGGCTCAGTCCTCACACTCAGGAACTTCATCATGTCTGGAAGAGGAGACTGTTGTTAAATGTGATCACGTGATGTTTGGCGTTATAGGTGAGGCACAGGCTGAGGGAGCACAAAGGTGGGAGGAAACAGCTCTACAAAAATGCTCCAGAAAGCAGTTCACAGAGGACACACTGAGAAGCATTTTGAAGGATAACTAGGAGTTTAGCAGCAAGAGTGGCTTGAACGGTCACTCCCAGGCAATGGAAGGATAAATAAACACAATCAAGACAGACAAAGGGCCTGGCATAGATGTACACACCATCGCACTGCAGCAGGATCTCCTCGGCGGTGGTGTCGTAGTGAGCCAGGGGGTTGCTGGCGTTGCGGTACTGCGTGGGAAAAGAGCAAAAAGGGCTGTGAGCAGGGCAGAACCCACCAAATCAGCAGTGACCACAAGGGCATTGGACCCACAGTTCAGGGCAAGCCAGAGAGGAGCCCAGTGTCCTGAACAAACACAACGTCATTTGACGAACCTGAGCAGACACAAACTTAAAACCACCTCTCCAGGAGATGTGATTTCTGGGGAAATCCAGAGTGAAGCATATAAGATGGAAGAGCTTCCTGTGAGCATGCTACATGTTGTGTTTTGTGCCTGTGGGGAGCTACCAGGAAGCCCTGGAAGGCCATTCCAACTGAACTGAGAAGGACCAGTTCTCTGTTCTTTGCACCTTAACTGTTGAGAGCCAAGGGCCAGTGACCACTAGACCTGTGGCAGGATCTCCCCAGGCAACCATAGCCAGACTGCTGGGTCCCAGTACCTGCCTCTTCTGCAGCCCCTATCCCAAACCCCCAAAAGAGACCTCCAAGAAAAGCACCCCATTTATGCATGCAAACCTCTGAATACAAACCCTGGGCTCGCAGCCTCTCACCTGGTCCAATATGTGAGAATTGGGGATTTCATTCTTCAGCCTCCAGGCCACGCCCACATGAGACTCAGGGGAGTCAAACCTGGCGTTGGTGGGCGTCCTCACGATCTCTGCCCCAAGGGCACGTAAGACGTCCACCTGCACCGAGGGAGAGCAGTCTGTGCCAGAGCACCGTCAGACCCAGGCTGTCGAGGGCTGTGGGGGAGGACGGGGGGATGCCCCGGCGATGCCCTGCTAACCCACCTTCTCACTGCTCATCTTCTCCGGCATCACGATGATGCAGCGGTAGCCCTTCACAGCGGCAGCCAGGGCCAGCCCAATCCCTGCGGGTGCGCAGGTGAGAGAGGTCAGAGCCCTTCACCCCACACTCCAGCCCAGTTCATGCACCTGACGCCCAACCCCTCCCGAGGAAGATGCTGGGACAGGGCACATGGGATTCCAGAGACCCCACTGTTGTTCCCTTCTGCCCTCAATGGGCACAAGAAGACACAACATGTGCATATTATGGAGAGTATCTAAAATTACAAAGGAGTCCAAAAACAAGAGTGCGGTGGGAAGCCAAGCCATTGGCTCTCATGGAGCACCCACCCACGCCCTCACTGGAAATCCCAGGAAGTCACGGAACAATCTAGCAGCTCCCAGGCCTGTCCTGCTTGTTAACTCTTCCCTGGAGCACCGATCCAACAGTTGATCGGGGGATTGCTGAAGGCCAGAGCCGGGATGAAGCAGGATCACAGGGCACCAAAGGCTCATACCTCGCCTACTGGGGACCCTGGTGGGTGGCATGGGGAGGGGTACAGAGACAACTGGATGCCCTCTCAGATGGTGCCACCGCCCACCTGTGTTCCCAGATGTGGGCTCGATGATGGTGTCCCCAGGCTTCAGGATCCCGTCCCTCTCGGCATCCTCAACCATCCTCAGACTGATGCGATCCTTCACGCTCCCACCCGCATTGAAGAACTCACACTTGGCCACTGCAAATCAGAGGGGCATCACAGAGAGGAAAGGACTCCCCACCCCTTGCCTAAGTTTCTTAGGAGGCAGGAAGAGGCTCGCTGTAGAGTCTGTGAATACTTCCTCTCCATTATTTCCACCTACTTCCAGTCCTCCACACCTGGACTTGGTTCATGGACCTTCTCCCACTGGCCCCCAGCTGACTGCATGACAACTTGGTGCTGAGAATCAAATGCCCCAAGAGAGCCCCACTGTGGTCTGGAAGGATTAGAAGATGCTCCTTCCCTAATCCCTCACACACAGAACTTACCAGTAACCATCTGCACCTGCAGGGTGATGGGTTTGTAACAAGTCAACTGCGAGCTGTGTCCAGGAGCTCCAGCCTGGATGCCTAACACTCACAGGCTATTACCCTCCTACCCTGTCTGATCAGAGCCTCAAACCTTCCATGTCCTCCTCCCCAGTAAGAGACCTCATTCCCCAGGTAAAGAGTCTATCTTCTGTCCCCTACTCTACTCCCAGTGTGCAGCCTCCTTTCTTGTGTCAAGGCAGTAGTCTCACCTATGGCAGGTCTCTCCTATCAAGCTCTTGAAAAATAATTAGTCAGACAGAGACCCATAAAATTTCCATTCCCTGGCTCAAAAATGGCTGAACTGTTCATCGTTTTAAAAACTGACACAGAGATAAACATTTCCTGTTCAGCTGGTTACCTGACATTCTTGATTACAAAAGCAAGCCCCACTGTAAAATCTCCCCCAAAACCAACCAGTGAAAACCTCATGGGTCACAACAAAACATTGTCTGACATTACGCTGAGGGGGAGGCCCCTAGGTTGAAAGGCACTCAACATATACAGTGGCTTCAATGAACTTGTACAGACAGACGACCGTAAAGATGGTGTGGGACTGGGCAATGTGTTCTTCTGTTGTGCATGGGCACTAAAACAGTACTGGAACTATTCCATACTTAAAAAGCCTGCAGCAATGCCACTGCCCAGATGGTGCTCCTAGGAGCTGGACACATTCCCCACAGCAGGCTCTCAGTAAGATCTACCGCCTTACTCTTCAATCGCTGCCTTTGGCATCTGCCTGGAACACTCTTCCCAGCTCTTTCCCCAGCGTGCTCCATGTATGCAGGCTTTAGCTTGAAGGCTAGCTCCCTGGAGCCAATCAAAACTGGAACAACCACCTCAGTCACTCTTGAACGCTTCATCTTTCCATATTATCTTTACACATTCACTTATGAATCTCCCCAATACCCCTCCAGCACGGTGTGATCTAAGGGCCTAAAGAAGCACCCCTTAGCCCACTCTGCAGATGGATGGAGGAAGTCCCTCCCAAAAGCAAGAGTACTCACAGAGCTCACACTTCAGGCCAAAGTTTTTTCCAATCTTGTTGATTCTGACCATGGGGGTATTCCCAATTTTCTTCAAGATATCTGGCAAAATTTGGGGAGGTTTTGATCTATAAGAGAGAAATTCATGATTATTCAGGGAAAACAAAGAGAAGCCCAGTTCTCAGCAGTTCCAGTACAGGGTTTCTAAATAAATAAAAAATCAAAGCAGCAGGTTTAATGAAAGATATTGGTGCTGATTACATAAAGGAGTATGTGGAACAAAAGGTCATAGTAACTCACACACACACACACACACACACACACATACACCCTTCCCTCTAAAAAACGTAATCTCATCTGCAGTTGCGTTCACAGCATTGTACCTGTGTTAGTTTCCTGGGTAGCCAATTACAGTGTAGTGAATTATTTAATCCTTCTAGCCATCGTCTTTTGACTTCAAGCAAATAACTAGATGAGACTAAGCAAATGAGGCACTTCAGGCACATCAAAGAGATTCGATCATTTGCTAATAATACAAATAAGGTTCATGGCACATGTGTGGGGATAGGAGTATGCAAATTAGGTTTATAGATCCCTAAAGAGATGAAGAGTGGAGCACACCCTTTGGAGCTGTGGTCCTTGTGCTGAGAACCTCCTAGATCCAAGATAGAGAGAATCATAATTCTGGAGAGGAATGAGGAACAGTTGCAGAGGCACCAGAACTAGGAGGTGGGCAAGAAACAGCACAGTGGACACCCTGGCCCACAGAAGGAGGAAGTTGACTGCCTTATGGCAGAAGTTTTTTTGTGTTACAATCCCAAAGGCACACGCTCAAATCCACCAGTTGCTCTGCTAAAGAAGGATGAGTAATCTTCTCCTATGCTATTTACTGCCTCTGAAAATCCACTGGAAGGTCATCTATGGGTTGGTTCTGACTCGGTGATACTCAACAACGACAGACACTTTGTGACATTTGTCATTAAAACAAGGCAGAGGTCAAGCTGGCCCAAGAGATATGAGGGGCTAACAGCCAGGGAAAGACCTGTCTGTGGGCACCATTGAGAAGAGACTGTACTGATAGAAGAATTAGATCCTAAGTCTTCCCTGTTACATTCTAAACAGACTCCACATCTCTGAGTATAATTTATGAGTTCTCTGTAGTTACTGCAATAAATTATCCTGCAGAAAAGTAGAAAGTGCAGTGGAGAGGTTGCTAGTATCAAAGATACTGTAGCGTGGAGGCATGCTGATCTTGATTTCTCTTCCTTCAAGTGAAGTTAGATAAGAGCTCTGACGCTCTCACCTTGTCATTTTTCCAGCAATGTCCTTTGGTTACTGAAAAGCCAGGACTGATTTGTGTGGGAAGCCAAATATTACACTAAATGCTAAAGTAAATGTTAAACCAAATTAAGGGAGGCACAAATACAAGCTGGAATTTCTCCTGAGACAGATCACAGGAATCAGGTGCCAAGGCAGACCTAATGCACCTTTTCAATTCTTAGATTATATTTACAAATCCCTCCTTTCTGATACAAGTGAAAGAGCCTAGCTTCATTTGCATAGACTTCTCTTTGTGATTTGCTCCCGGGCAATTTTCAATAAAGGTACAGGGAAACTAGGTTCGGGGCTTCAGTCTTCGAGTTGTTCACCCCCTGCCTTTCATTCCATTCTTGGTGTCCCCTTCTTGCTTTTCCTCAGTCCTGGGTCGACAATAAATTTGTACTAATTTTGCAACTTGGTGTGAGTCTTACTTGAAATAAAAATGTTAAAGTAAAAGCAAAAACTGAAACAACACAGATTTAAAACAGTAGCCACAGATCTTGGTTCATTTTTTAAAATCATTCTTGGATCATTTCAATCTCTTTCACCTCTGGACATGCCATGGCTGTGACACCTCTTTTTCTACATCATTCTTCGATAAAAAGGTGGTGAACCAGTACTGCCAACTCTAAGGCATGCAGTTCTAATCTACCAGCTGCTCTGCAGGAGAAAGGATAGGCAATATTCTTCCATGTGATTACGGCCTCTAAAAACCCACAGGAGGGTCTGCTTTGAGTCAGTTCCAATTCAGTCACACATGTACACCAATACACCTCAAGAACATAGATACAAAAATTCTCAACAAAATCCTGGCCAATAGAATCCACATTGTACTTAAAAAAGAAATCATTCATCATAAGCAGGACTCACACCAGTTATGCAAGGATTGTTCAACATAAGAAAAACAATCAGTTTTAATGTACCATATCAATAAGACAAAAATATCATGATCATATCAATCAGCATGGAAAAGGCACTTGAATATTCCAACACTCTTTCTGCATAAAAATACTCAATAAAACAGAATAAGAGGAAAATGATTCAAAATAATTAGAAACAACATATATACAAAATGAAAGGCTAACTTAGTCTCAATGGAAAAACAGTAGAGACCTTCCTCTTGACACAGGGAAAATACCCAAATAAAATTCAACGTCATCAAGTCAGGACCTCTCATAGCTGCCCCTTCAGTGGTGAATCACCCAGAAGAGAATGCCCATCTCCCTCCTGCAGAGCTGCTGGTGGATTTGAAGAGCCAAAGAGCACCACCTTTGGGATAGCAGCACAACTCCCTATGGACGGCATTACCAATTTTATTCAATATTGTAGTGGAAATCAAGCCAGAGCATTAAGAAAAGAAAAGGAAAGAAGAGGCAAAGAGGAAACAAAATTATCTTTATGTGCAGATGATATGATCCTATACACAGAAAACCCTAAAGAATTAGTAAGAAAATTACTGGTGCCAATTGTCCAATTCAGCCAAGTGTCAGGGTTCAGGATCAATGTACAAAAATCAGTCGGAGTCCTCTACAGAAAGACAGGGAACTCTGAAAGAGAAATAATTAAAACAATGCCATTTATAACAGCCACTCAAAAGAAGAGATACTTAGGAATAATTCTAACCAGAAATACAAAAGACTTATAAAAAGAAAACAACAAAACACAACTATAAGAAACCAAAAGAGACCTGCATAAATTAAGGAATATACCATGTTCATGTAGATCCTTATGTGCAAAAGAGTTCTTACAAATTGTAAAACTAGATCCTACACAATGGAATTCAAGCCATGGTCTTTTCAATTAGATGGTATGATTGAAAGTTGGACATAAGAATGACAGAAGAATCGATGCCTTTGAGTTGTGGTATTGGGGAAGAGTACTGAATATCTTATGGACAGACAAAAGAACAAACAAGTATGTCTTGGAGAAAGTGCAAACAGGGTGCTTCTTAGAGGTAAGAACAGTCAAACTTCGTTTCACTTTGAGCATATTGTTGGGCAGAGCCAGTCCTTGGAAAAGACACCATCGTGGAAAAGTGGAGGGTCAGTAAAAGAGGGGACGACCTTCAATGAGACAGAGTGACACAATGACTGTAATAGTGAACTCAAGTATATCAGAGATGACAAAGATGGCACAGGAGAGGGCAAGATTCAGATCCACTGCTTATAAGATAGCTTTGAGCTGTACTTGGCTCGACAGCACCTAACAACACATTAGGGAAAAGTAATTCAGTAATAACCTATCTGACATAGGATTCAACCCTAACATTTATAGAATAGTCCAACAACTCAACAAGAAAAAGGCAATAATCTGATTAAAAAATGGGTAGAAGACACTTGACTAAAGAAGACATTCCGATGGCCAACAAACACATGACAGAATGTTCAAAATCATCAGCTACGAGAGAGATGTAAATCAAAACAACAATGAAGTATCATTTCATCCCAGCAACAATAGCAAAGTTCAACAGGACAGTAAGCACTAAGTGCTAGGTCTCCTCATGGTTCTTAAAACAGGTGAACCCCAGACACCTTTGTATGAGCTGATGAACTATGTATATTCCTTGAGTCCACTCCCAACACTGACTAAAAATCTAGCATGGGCCCAGCTTCTGAAATGGTTGTCAGCTGTTAAATCCAGGCCCAAATCCAAAGCAATCTGGAGACTGGGGCTGTATTCAATTCCAACCTTCCAGGAGAGTCTTGTTTTTCTTAAGGATTTAGAAAGAAGGTAGAATAGATCCCCTGCCTCATGAGGGAAGTGGAAGGTCTCTCTCCTCGTCTGTTCTTAGCTGAGAGAAGTCTGTTACTAGCTCTCAGTCTCAGCACGGTGGACAGAGAGAATTCTGGGAGCCAGAGAACATGGCTCAGGAGCAGATTTTTTTTTTAAATTATTTTAATTTACATTTACAGAGATTTTGGATTTCCATTCATTCATTGCTGCAGAAGCAGATTCTTGACCCTAGGAAAGTCTTGGAGGATCTGGATAGGGGTCCTGATTCTGGGGGCATGGCTGGGGTGATCATTAACTCAGTAAAATCCAGAGGGGCCAGAAGATTTGCCTACAGTTTGACCCCTAATTTAAAAGAGAGCTGCTGGGAGGCTGAGTCAGCATTGTCCTCCTCCCAGGGGAGCTGAGGGAACAGGTCAGGCACAGGTGGCAAGTTTCAGACAACTAGTTTTCTGACTTGGCTTGGGACCAGTGGGCGGAAATCTTCTAGAAGCAACCTTAGAAACGAGTGACATGCCAAAGGATGGAATTTACACACGTGACAATGTTCACCAGGGCACTTTCCAAACAGCCAAGCTCAACTCACGTCAACATTGTTGAGCCAGAACCAACTTACAGCTGACCATCCAACGAATTTTGATGACACGTGCTTCAGACTATGCAGGTCATGACCCCACACCCTGTCTGAGTGTCTTCCAAGGATACCTGTGACCTTCTGTAACTACATCCTCCTTCAGGCAAGGGAGGTGCTGGGAGGTATCCTCTTAAGCAGATGGTTAAGATGATGTCCTCTTAACCAGCATGGACGTGGACAGTCCTGTCCCTACCAACTGTGAGCTGGAGTCTCAGGCTAGAATACCAATCAATTAGGGTTCTCTTTATTTATTAATCTGACTTTAGAAGCCCGGGTGGCACAAGGAGTTTGCAATTGGCTACTAACCTCACTGAGCCTGTGACATCTTGTGGGTACTGACGGGAACACAGCAGGCCTTTCTGAGTCTCAACTAGCTCATAAGTGAAGGACACACCCCACTCAGCTCAGCAAGCTGAGATGTTCCAAGTTACTGGACAAGATGACTATTCAGCAT